TTCATGTCCATTAATCCATCATGACTGTGGAGTTTGTCTGTGTTCTAATGTATATGAGCAATAGCCCTGGAAGTCATTTATCTAATGGAAAATTCTTCTCTCAGCTTCAAGCATAATTTGAATAATAAAAATACTGTTTCAGAGTCTTTTGTGAAAGTAGTCAGAATATGTCTGGATGCTTCCCAAGTCTGACTTTAGCCATGAACTAGTAAAAAGGTTATAATGCAGCAGAAATCCAAGAGGGGCCATGGAATATAATAGTGCTTATATTGAAGCTGAGAGCAATTTTAGTTGTGAGAAATTATCAACATTGGATTCACTATTTAAAAGTGTATCACAGAAGATTATATGAAACAACACAAATTTGAAAATACAGTTAAAACTGATAAACTAACACATTGACATATTTCAAGTATAAGTTAATATCCTCAGTTTAGCCCAACGGCTCTGTTAGACCAGGAATACCAAGGAGAGATTCACTGGAAGGAGCTGTTTAAACACAGACAGATGTTTGAGTCTTATGACTTCCTAGTTGGGGAAACTTCTTTCATGTGGCATTGTATTTATTAATAGTGAGACAAAGATCAAAATGTTTACCGGTAAGAAGGTAAGGAAATGTTACTATGTAAAACACTGACTTAATAAGATAAGTTACTGTAATAACAAAATATCCAATACCTACACAAGACCACCTAAGACTGGTGCCCTTTCTAAAGAAAGTTTTATAACCCCTCTCAGTGATTGCTGTTGTGTTGTACGGCTTTGTACTATTGAAACTCCTGCCTGTCTCCTGAAGTGACTCAAATGTAGATCTCAGCTCCCAGTGGTCTCGGCTCTCTGGAGAGAATAGATGATGTTAGGCGGATTCACACCGCCACTTACATAGCTGTGCTCATGTAACTGCTATTCCTTCTGCCCTCCTTCCTTTTCTTCATCCTTCCCTTCCATTCTTTTGCAGAGGAACAAATCAATTCATCTCACTTTCTGCTGAAGGACTCGTACAGATCCCTTCTTAAAGGAGTATGGAATCTCTCTGGCGGATTCCTAATGAGTACAGTTATTTCCAAAATAAATATTAGAAAAGGAAAGAGCACCAGCAGATGCTGCGGTTTAGATAAATCATGAACTCTTGCGGTGCTCTGTGCCCCCAGGGAACAGAGTCTGGGAACTGCTGTGTCTGAGCGTCTTCATGTTCATGCTCTAATTTTAGGCATTATCTTTAAAATGCCATTCTTGGAGAAAATGAGCCTGCCTTGCCAATTCTTTTGTGTTTTTGTTTTCTGTTATTTTCACTTTGAATTCACGTATTTGCTTCATCGTGTCCCTCTTTCCTCCCCTCCCCCTCATGTAAGTCACACATGCTTCGGATTTGTTTTTTTAATAAATAGATAAGTTGAAGACATACTTTTATTAAATATTTTATCGTGGTTTTGATTTTTTTTAATTGGTGTGTATGTGTGTGTTTGTGATGTCACACGTGTAGAAGTCAGAGAACAACTTAACAGCTTTTGGGAGTTGGTTCCCTCGAGTGTGAATGCCGTGGATTGGACTCAAGTTTCCAGACTTAGTGGCAAGAACTCTTACTCACTAAGGCATCTCGCTGGCCCTTCATTTCGTGCTTTTCAATAAGAACATTCTTCTTTGTACAATAAAATGATCAAATTCAGAAAAATTGACAGTGGTACAATGAATGCTGTTACCTAATGTGTACAAAATATCTTACAGTCCATTTTCAAAGTTTTTCAGTTATCCTGTTAAAATAACCCTTGTACGTTATTTTTCTTTCCAATCAGGATGCAATTCAGGACCAGGATCACATTTTGCACAGAGCTGTCATGTCTCCCTCCAAGCTAATATAGTTTATAACTGTGTTTATCTTTCTTGATTTAGATATAGTTGAAGGCTACAGGGCAATTGTTTTTTAAAAATTCTTTTCATGGGTAGACTGAAGCCAGGCTCTTTGGGCAAGAGTAACCATAGATGCCTAATTTTGAGACCTTCTTTGGTTTTCCAGACAACAGTTAATTCTCAATTCTGTGTGAAGAGGGTGTTTACAATCCTGTTTAATTCTAATACTACTCGGAGGTACAAAGCAAGACAGTCCTATCTATCAGGATGCTCTGTCCCAACACCAACCTCAAAGGGAACCCCAGAAACCCACACTTTTTCATGTCAAAGTAACAGTAAGAGTCCCTGTTACTTTGTTAGGTTCAATCATTTGATCACATGATCCACAGCACCCAGTAAAACATTATACCTTCTCTTAAAACTCTGTAGTGGTTAAACTGAAGGGAACACAGTATGGTGATAGTTTGTTTATGATCTAACAAGTAAAGTTTGCCTGAAGATCAGAGTGCAAAGCTAGCCACACTAGTTAGCCATAGAGGCCAGGAAGTGGTGGTACAAACCTTTAATCCCAGGCAGGTGGATCTGTTAGTTCAAGGCCACCCTGAGCTACATGAAATTTATCCAGTCTAAAAGAGAAACAGAGCTCACGCGAAGATGATCTTAGCACTTTGGATCCCATGCCTTTAATCCCAGCATTACAGAGGAATATAAGGTGGGAGGAGACAGGAGCTCAGTGCAGTCTGAGGTTTGGTGGAGAGCTATGCTGTCCAAGACAGGATCACCCCTTTAATCTGAGCATTGGTAGAGGTGAGAACTCTCTAGTTGCTGACGGATTTGCTTCTCTGATCTTCTGGTTTAATCCCAGTACCTGATTCTGAGTTTTTATTATGAAGACCTATTAGAATTCCTTCTACAATACAGAATGAGAATTGGGGGAAGGGAGAAAGCTGTGGGCCCCTCTCTGGTGCTTGGTTACCCCAGCACAAGGATATGAGGTCATTCTAGAAGTCCCAGTACCCTTCTGTCCTATGTTTGTGTTGTAATTTTGGTGTGTAGATACAAATTCTACTACTTTAAGTAGGTGAGTTAAATCCTCTTCTTTATAAACTGAATTTGTAATTACAACAATCATTAAAAAATTATTACAGAAGGTACATTTTTGTTCTTAACAATTGATTTAGTATTATGTATGATAATCCACTAATAGTTAATTTTTACTTTTTCAACCCATCACTATCAATATTCTTTCTACTTTCCTTAGATACAATGAAGTCTGAAGACAAAAATGTCTAGATATGCAAAGATAAAATAAGAATTAATTTACTAGAAACATTTAGCTAACACCACCTGCGTGTCTGAGTAAAACCTGGTGTGCATATTTGCAGGGGAAAAAAAGTCCACAAGAATGCAGTGACGCTTATAATGTAAAATATTTATACTGATGCATCTTTCCCTTTGAAGTTAACTTTAAAGCTAGCTTCAGTTCTCCCCTCTTGAGAAAACTGGCCTCATTTCTGACCCCATTTGACAGAATCTGGTGTAATTACTTACTTCCCTCACAGCTTCGGCTTTGCACGACTTCAGACCAATTTAAAGAAAAAAAATAGAAACGACCTTCGAAAGAGGAGGGCTTTCCTGAGTGAATATTCCGTATTCCTGAGGGGAATTCCAAATGCAGCTTTTAGAGCAAGAATACTATTATTAGGTGGTGCACAGAACTTGCTGGGGTCCGTATGCCCTGGAGTGCTCACTCCGTTCTTACCTTTCTGTCTATGCTTATTTCTGACTTCATTCCCACATCAGAGAGTATACACCTTCCCTAAATCCAGTGTCAGGGCACCTGGTGCCTTCTGGGCCTCTTTGGGCACCCGCTTTCATGTGCACACACACTTGCACCTACAATTAAAAACAAAACAAAAAAAAATTAAAGAGCAAAGAGATTCAAGAGCTAACAAAATCCTTACTCACAACCAATGTAGAAGCCCCAACAGGTTGAAGGGCAGAGGGAGGAGGCATAACTCCCGGCTTCAGCAGACTGAAGACCTCCAATACACTTTAAAACCAAACAAGGGTTCATGGCTTTGATGCCGACAGGAATTTTAGGACTTAGCCAGTTTATGAAGCAGAGTCGAGTTTTAAGAAAGCAATTGGTATGAGTTTAAGCATATAGGTTAAGAGAAAGAGAGGTGCTCAGAAGAAAGTAAGACATACCCAGTGATGTGAGTATAGAGCACTCAAAGAGGAGGACTCACTGTGTGTTAAACAGTCACATATGGGCTGGGGTGGGGTCTGAAGTTACTATCTTTAAAGAGCTGTTAAGAAACCTCAATGAGGCCACTAAGTGGTTCCTCCTGGCACCCACGGGACTGCAGCTGATAAGGTAGGAGTCTCATCTACAGGGATGTAGGAAGATTAGGTGGAAACAAAAACTAACAGATTTCTGGGCCAACAATCATATACATTCAGGCCAAGGCCATTGCTCCTTTAACGTAAGATAGCTATTAATTGAATATTAATTCTATGAATATTAATTCTATGCTAACAGCTCTTATGGAAAGTGCTGTTTGTGCTAGAATTAGAGGCTTCCATTCAGCTAGAGGGTTTAGCCAGACTCAGGGATGAGGGTCCTCTTTTCTTTTCCATTTCCCCATAATTTCCATTCTTTTTTTTTTTTTTCTGTCCTGACAGCGTACTGTGGAAGTATAGAACAATCCTTAGACCCAAAATTACATCATGTGTTGGAAAGGTTTTAGGAGAGCTGCTTTTCTGTGAGTGACACAGTAACAGCAAGCGATAGACAGATGGGGACAGACAATTTTTTTTGTCAGAGGTCAAAGATGCTACTGTTCCTGCAACCACAAAAACTCTCTAAATATTTGTATGCTGTTCAGTTTGGAACAGTTGTTAAAAATCTTGGTTTGGTATGGGGCGCTTAGTTTTTGTAAACTCTGAAACCCCAGAACAGCCCTTACACTTATCTTTGTCAAATATTATGGGATTATATATTGATAGCTTTCACAGTGATAAAATCATTACTCAATAGTAACAAGGAAAGTCAAAGGTTAGATTTCTCTAATCTAATACATGAGAAAAAAATCAAATCAATCTTTGTACAGGTAGGTCAATAAATTGGATTTCTCTTTCCTTCCTAGGATCCTCGGTTCAATGCTGAAGTCGACCAAATTACAGGCTACAGGACACAGAGTATCCTTTGTATGCCAATTAAAAACCACAGAGAAGAGGTAAGCCAATTTTTCATTGCCTATAAAAGGTCACTTGGAAATATTTTTTGTTTTGAAAATTTTTTTTTATTCTACACATATATGAAATAATACTATAGTGACAAATTATCATTTAAATTAATATATAAATATTTAAATGTTCTGCTTGAGTTTTTTTTTTAACTGTAGTCACAGGGTTGAATGCTGATTATAGACTTGCCCCTGACCTTTAATTGGGAAACAAATTGTATACATTTTACTTCCTGTCTAATGGATAGGAATTCTAATGGATTTATTTCACATTGTATATTATTGTCTAATGCTTGTTCCATAAATGGTCATCCAATTGCTATGGCTGTCAGTTGATTTCTTTGCATTTATTACAATTTTGAACACCTAGAAATCATAGCTAATTTCAATGGCATATATTTAGATGTGAACTTATAACAGGCATGTGAAAGTATTTTGCATTTCACCTAGCTAGAAGATTTAGATTCTGTTAGCACTCAGATCCCTCTTCATTTTACATTCTGTGGAAAAAAATAGGAAATTGTCAATTAAACTGAATGTTCGAATTGTATAGTCTTTAATCTGAAGTCACATTACAACCAACTAGGGCATTTTGAAAGATTGTCAGCTGAAAAGAGGCATGATTTTCAAGACGGTCAATAGGATGCTTATAGATGAAGCTGAGATTTATTGTGGGCATTAGCCATCATAGTTGGAAGCCAGGAAGCTAATCATCTTCCTTCATTAACCCAGAGAACTATTACAGTGGGTGGTGTAATTCACTCTGAAACCTAAGGCCTGAAAACCTTGGGGGCTGCTAGGTAGGACCAAATCCAAAAGCCTTAGGATCTAGAGTTCTGATGTCTGGAGGTGTGACATGGACAGCTCAGCTCGAGGAGAGGGCAATTTGCCTCTGCCTATTTGGTCTACCTAGACCCTGAGTGGATTGGTCAGTGTCCTCATGCATTGGTAGATGAAGCATGTTCCTCATGGGTCTGTTGATTCAGGGTTATTCCTTCCTGAGGCATTTTCACAGACATACCCAGAATACCTGTTGTCTGGGCTCTTTAAAAGAGGTCGACATATAAATTTAACCTTTAACACCAGGTAAGGCAGAATGTCTAGATTAACTGTTAGCTATTGCTATGATAAAACATCTTGACCAAGGACAACATAAGGAAGGAGTTTTATTTTGGTTTGTGTCACCAGAGGGAGCGTCTACAAGGGTGAGAGAGGCATGGCAGCTGGCCATCAGAGTAGGAAGCCGAGAGATCCCATCTTCAAACTCAAGCACAGAGCAGAGAAAGTGAACTGGAAGTAGCTACCACCTCCACTGATGTACTTAGCCTCCCCAGATCCTGCCCAAATAATAACACTCCCAACTGGGGACCAAGGGAGCCTATGGGAGACATGGCTGATCCAAATCAGCACAAGGTCCATGGAGATTCTGGGAGCTGATGGGTTTTCAAAGCCCATTGTGGGTTCTAGTAAACTCCGTGTTTGTATTCAGTCTATCCTCAACTGCATGGCAGAGAATTGTCTGCATGGGCAGTGGGACAGCGGAGTGTAAACTAATGCCTTCCCCATGGTTTATCCTTGTATTGAATTTGTATCCAACAAGGGTCTGATGTCAATCAGACATGTCTTCATTTCGATAGTGTCCCTTCTTTTCCTCTTATAGGCATACTTAGCTTTTCACTATGTGGGCGGGGCCAGTTCTTCTGTCTTCCTAGGACTGCTCACATCATGCACCCTTAGTTAGGGTGTATCTCCAGAGTGAATGTGAGAAGAATGTCATTCTACTGGAGAAACGTCACTGTGAATGTCAGGAAGATTCCTGGAGTTTTACAGTTCTCAGACTTCACGCACTTTTTCTCTTGTCAGTTTCTACCCCCTCCTCCTCCATTTTTGCTTCCTAGAGGGTTTCTCATTTGGGCTATTGCAGGTTAAATTAAAGCTCCCAGACTTGTGGTTATTCCTTGTTGTTAAGCCCTTAAGGTAGCTAAGTTTTAAGTCATAGTTTCTTTTCTAGGGTGTGCCTGGCCACTGCCCTCTTAGTCACATGGAATGGCAGAATGGCTATCTCTGGCCTTCTCTATTCCTCTCCACTACTGACCCTTCTACAGGAGGAATCACTGTTTGACCAAAACCCACAACTGGTTTGGGGTTTGCCAAGCTGTGGCTTGTCCTGAGGCCAGGACTGCCTATCTATTCACCTCTGGGATGAGGCGCCTGCTCCCTTCCTTACCAGGGAGCCTGCCTGGAAGCTGTCTGACAGAGTTTGCTTCTTTTTGGTGCAGTTGTCAATCTTTTTTGCCACAGGTTTCTGTCATCACCTTTGTGAGTTTCCAAAGCTCTTCTTCATTCAACAGTGTAAAAACATGTTTCCTTGTTATTTCTTTTCTCCTTTATCACGTCAGGCAGAGGTAGCCTCTGAACTACTCACTTACCGGAAGTCTCTCAAAATTTTTTAAATGAAAATTTCAAGTCCAGTGAAGCTTTCAGGAATAATTGTAAAGATTGTTTGCTCAGAGCTTGAAGCCCTTTTTATTGCTTCCTGGATGACTAATGGGGTTAATCCCTCTGAGCTTCACTTTCCTTCTCTGCTAAGTGGGGGCAATAAAAGACCCGCCTCCAGGGCTGCATTAAGCTTGCAGAGGGCCAGGCTTGTGACTCAGTGGAAACGTCAGGAAACACCATCTAGTCTTTTTAAAAGAACAATAATGGAACTTGTGAGAGAAGGAAGGAGAGAAAAGCCACCTTGTCATCTGGCAGCTGGTCCAAATGATAGTGGCCTAGCCCTGGACTCTGTCATTCTGTTTACCGTCCTCTAACTGTAAACTTTGAAAGAAAGATGGCTTCCTATTCTTTTTTTTTTTCCCTCATAATTGAAGCCAGGCGGATTTGCCTCCTTTCTGTAAATCATTTCTATTAAGTCATCATCCGTTCTAGTTACCAGAGAACCTAAAAGAGCTGGTTATTGAATTAGTTTATTTCTTGTTTATAAAATATTTTACACTTTTTAGTGGCAGCAGTTTTTAAAGGGAACTAGTTCTGGGGCAGTTGCATATTACTTACTGAAGTCTGTGCTCTGACACCGGCCATGCCATTCTGGAAGACTTTTAGGAATTCTGGAAGACTTTTAGGATTCACTAAAATACTGAATATTGCCTCTTATTTATTTATTTACTTACTTATTTACTTATCTATGTGTACATCCATGCATGTGAGTGTGCAAACACATGGAGATAGAAGGTAGCTTTTAAGACTTGGTTCTCTCCTTTCACCATGTGGGAATTGAACTCATCATGTCTTTAGGGTTATCAGAAAGCACCTTTAATTGCTGGGCTGTCTTGTTTGCTGGCCCAGCCTCTTGTTCTTGTGAGATATTTGAACAAATTAAAATTTTCAGTAGTTCTTTTTCAATCATGTTATAATATTATGTAACATAATATTATATTATGTTATAATCCATTGATGTAATGGATAGAGCAATTATTTCATTAGTTGGGATCACAGCTACTCATAAGAGAGTAAGTTTTGTATTCTTCTTTCTTCTTATTAACTCTTAAGATAGGGGTTAATGGATTAAAAAAAAAATAAAACAGCCAGGCGTTGGTGGCACACGCCTTTAATCCCAGCACTCGGGAGGCAGAGGCAGGCAGATCTCTGTGAGTTTGAGGCCAGCCTGGTCTCCAGAGCGAGTGCCAGAATAGCCTCCAAAGCTACACAGAGAAACCCTGTCTCAAAACAAACAAACAAAAAAACAAAAACAAAGCTAAGTGAAGCTTGAGGAAACTAAAATATTCTATTTTAGAGCAGGGTCAAAGAGCTATTAGCCAGAGGGAAATGAATGGCAAAAGCAAAAACAAAAATCAATCAGAGGAGCTGTCCAGGTTGTATAAGAGAGTGGTTACGCGGCGTGGAACAGGCTTGGGAGGTGATTGACTTATGTGTAGCAAACAGTTGCCATGTGTGATATTTCTGGGGTAAGCACTGTGTGAATTGCTCTAAGTGCCTGTCACTTTCATAACACCCCTGGAAGCTGTCATCTTATTCCCTGTTAACCTACAAGGAAACTAAGACTGGAACATTTAGGGGTCTTGGTCTAAATCACATAACTAGAAACTTTCAAACCAACATCCACAAGCGCACCCTTGGCCTGTGCAGTCATGATATGGAAAAGAGACTCCTGAAACTCTGCTGTGGATGACAACTGAGCTCTTGCTTCTGCTTAAGTTTCTGTTGCTTTAAATGGGAAGGGGCGGAGGTTGTCTGGTGTGGCAATGTGGGCACAGCCAGGAGACATGGTTGTCTTCTGAAGGCTCTTCGGTGTCATGTCACTTAATGCAAAGATTCTTTTCAAAATATGAGACAAGGAAGGAAGGGGCAAAGACACATTCTCTGACGTCTTAAGAGGAACCCATGGGCAAGTTTTTACCCGGGACAAAGGAGTTACAAGAAAGTTTTGCACTAAGCTGGGCCAACATGCCCCAGAGAGCAACCATGATATGCCAATAAAGCAACTGGAAGAAAGAAATTCAAGTATGCTTTTCAGGCCTGCTATTAAATTTCATTCAGACGTAATTCTGGATTTTTCAGGCAAAAGGCACTTGAGACGGTTTTATTTTAGTAACTTGCACTATTTATTTATTTAAGCAGAGAGAATTCTCTTATGTTTAGTAAAAATGTACAGAGAATTCAGCTGCCACTGGACCAGATGGCCTATTCCTGCAACATTGCCCTTCCCTGAAGTACTGTTCCTTGTGACAAGCTAGTGTTCCTCTGTATTTATAGGGATGAGAGACTCATCACTTGGAGCTTACTGCTGTTTTGTCTGCCCATCATTTGGGTAGGGATGAGTAGGAGTCTGCAGGCGGACATTATCAAATAATGCAAATGATGATACAAAAAACAAAAACAAAAACAAAAACGTCTGCCAGTTTTTATGACATTCCTGTGAGATAAATACTTGGAGGAATTAAAGCCACTTAATGTATATCCAAGTCATA